CAGCTTTTTCCTTGAACACACAGCAAGAATTTATGCTACACTCACAAAAAGATGAAAGATGAGGTCCTTGGAGAGAAAGGCCTTTTGGCACACTACATGGTAAAGCTACAGATTTGACATACTTTTATAATGTCTGCTTTGGCAAGAACACAAAAACCCCACACAAAAGCGTGGTACGTCCTCCCAGACAGGGGTGTAGGGGGTGTCCTACTCTTGTGAGCATTTACTTTCAAATGCTCTCACTTCAGAGACTATTTTGATCGGTTACTTTAGACTAACAAATTCTCTTTTGCTACACGAACAGTTTGACAGTCAGACTACAATTCTCCTCACAGCCCCATCTAACAAGAGAGAATCTTTGGCTGGGGTCCAGCAAGAGCCTTAAATTTGTCACATCCTATTTCTGATGAATGATCTGCAGCAGTTTTAAGATCACAAAGTGCTTTGAAAGTTAAAAGAAAAATTTCACGAGTGGTAAGCTTTCACTTTCTTTATAAAGGTATTTAAACAAAAACTGCTAGTGGATTCTTTCTACTTCTGCATCTCAAAAAAACGCCAAAACAACCTTTTAGCTGAGGTTAAAAAAATAGGAAACAGTTGCAATGCACTTGCCTACAACGTATCAAAAGGCCAGAACTGGATTTCCAGAAGTGCTCAAGTGCTTAAACAGTTATCATTTGTAAAAGAAACAATACAAGCTCTTTGTAATTTACTGCCTCCATTTCTGGAAGTTTCACTGTTATGAGATGCCATGGCAAATACACAAATCACAGTGTCAGAAAGCACTTTGATTCCTTCCTTTACACAAAGATTAAAAATATGAAAAGAGATCCAGGAAAGTAGCAGTATTTGACACAAAGCTTCAATCTCCCTCTCAAATTATCCCCAGCGTGTAACAATTCCAGTGAATGTGAGAAGACCACGCACCAAAGGCACAGACTGACCATCCAAACTAATTCCTTTCACTACTGGCCAATGTTTTCCCTAGAATATTTCATTTTTAAAATCAAACCATGACTGTTTTTTTTTCCTGAAAGTAAGTGTGTGGGAGTTGGTGAGAAGCACCAGACTTGTAACTTCCTATCCCTGACATACTTACACCTGACACACAACACGGATTTCTCACTGGATAAATTCCATGTACTGTCACTGTAAAACGCAGACTCTGCTCTTTCTATTCTGGTTTGCTGCTTCTCACTTGTGGTGAGAAGGCTCCGGGCTCAGGAGCAGCACAGCCCTGCACAGAGGGAGCACGGGAGGCCTGCAGGGATGAACAAGGAGCTCCTGGACAAACCAAACACCAACAGGCAGCGTACAGAGGGTGGGAGCAGGGAAACCACACACACTAACCGAGCTTCAACTCAGGGAGCTCCCAGGTGCCACAGAAACCACAATCACCAGGCAAAGAAACGGTTTGGTATTGCCTTCTCCTATGGAAACACATTTTTAATAATGAATTTTCATCTTAGCATTCCCAGTCACAGCTGCAGCTCTCTTGCTTCACAGCTCTCAAAACAAAGACGTCCCGTTCACTTCAAGTGACTCAGTACAAAAAATCCATAAGTTTCCAAGTAAGATGTGTGAACCCAACAAAGAAAAGCACACACACAGTCTTTAGATACAACTGAATGCTGGAATTGTAAAGCACACCAAAGCCTTCACGTGCCAAAAACATACAATGCTGAGCAGAGATGAGCACCATTTCTAAACAATCTAGAGGGGAAAGGACAGCGAGACCACAGTAGGCTGATCCAGGGATCATTTCCTCTCTCAGTTCCCACATTTCAGTGTGGTTTGGCAGAGTCCTGCCTGGATTGGAATAAAACAACGTTTGCCTTTTCAGCTTCTTCAGTTGCAATGAAGTTTTTCTCTTTGTACCTCATACAAAACATCTCCCAGATGATCCTGAAGTTTACCTTTCTGGAGATCAAACCTTAGGATCACTGGATAATTCAGGTTGGAAAGGACCTCAGGAGGTCTCCAGTTCAACCTCCTGTCAAAGACGGGCCAGGTGTGAGGTCAGACCAGCTTGTTGAGTTTGTGAAACAGTTGGGTCTTGAAAAGCTCCCAGGATGGAGATGCACAACTCTGCGAGTGCCCTGCTCTGATCCGTGACTCCTCCCGGGGAACACGTTCATGTCTCTTGATTCAGGCTGTCACTGCACCTTGTCCTGCTGCCAGGCACCACTGTGGGGAGCCTGGATGTCCCCTCCCAGAGAACTCCTCACAGGTGTGGAAGCTGCTGCTCCGTTCCCTGGAGCCTCCTCCTTCCCTGACCCAGTCCAGCACTCGTGTCCTCACAGTGAAGTGCTCCAGTTCACCGTCCTCACGGCCCCCACTGAACTTGTTCCAGTTTATTGACGTCTTCTTGGAGCCCAGAACAGGTTTTTTCCTTCTGCAGTCGACTGTCTTGGTGACTGAGAACCTTCCACAGCCAGCCCTGGCCCAGCTGCCCAGGGCAGTGGTGGGGTCCCCAGCCCAGGGGGGATCCACAGGACGTGCAGACACAGGGCTTGGGGACAAGGCCTTGGCACTGTCAGGGTTATGCTTGGACTCAAAGATCTCAAAGGTCTTTTCCAATCTAAATAGTTCTATATGACAGCAAATGGAAAATGCTGGTTTCATCCATTTCAACAGTTATGAACCAAACAACATTTAATGCAAGGCTGTGAATTCCATGAGCAGTAATGTGACTTGAATGCACAACTGTCCGTGGGGAGCTAAGAACACCAGTCAGTGCCTCCAATTCCAGGAGGATGCAAGTGAACTGTGAAACATATTAAGGCTTCAAATTCCAGCTGATATTCCACACTCCCATGGCAAACACCCTTTGCTACTTTCTCACTTTCCCTCCTGCAGTTCTCTCCCCATCCCACCAGGCTGGGGGAGAGAGTGGCTCCGTGGGGCTGAGCTGCCAGCTGGGGTTAGTCCCTGACAGCCACCCAAGCTTTGCAATCACAAAACAGAGCAAGTTGTACCATCCCACAAGCCACACAATCCCCCACACCAGGACAGTTACAGCTTTGGAGCAATTCTCTCTCCTCGAGACCAGGTCAGAAGATTGATATCAGAATTAAGAGCATTTTAAGTACCAACAGCACTATAACACGAGACACGGACTTAAAAAACAGTTGTCTTAGTTAATTTGGGGATTGATTAAGTGGGGAGAAATAGTTTTTCAAACTTGCTCCTTATACACCTTTTATACATTTTGCTTTTCTTAACAGTAGCTGCTCCTTGCCATGTCCCACACATTCCCTGACTGCACAAAAATAAAACCTGATCCCTATTCCTGGGTTTTGGGCAAAGAACAGCCAGCCAAGAAGCAGAAGTAAAGCTCCATGGAGGTCTCTAGTCTGCATTTCTGGAATGGTGATTTGCTGGGACATGGTACAGCTGTTAAGTACAGTTGACACTCAGAGAATCAAACAATCTTCATTTGAAGCAAAAGGACAAAATATTTGGGGATACACAAATCTAAGGCTTCTGAGAATAAAGGGCACCTCTTAAATATAAAAATAATTGGTTGGGAAAAAATCTCTTAAAAGAATACCCAGAGAGAATGAATAACTTCAGAATACATGAGTTGCAAAAACAACTTTTAGAACTTTTTTTACTCCCTAAAAAGAATTTCTGAAGATTTTGCACCTAGAAGTACATCCAACAAACTTAAAAACACAACTAAGTGAAACTCCCACAGAATCAGTTGGTTTATAGAACAAAATGTATACTAAATTCTCCAATTAAAAACCTGTAAAGTAGTTTCCGTGCTTTTTAACCCACCTTCCCACAGCAGGGAATTAATCCCTCCAGGGGGATGCAAACAAACTTCAAAGAGAAGATTATACCCAGACACTAGTACTGTACAATGTAATGTTTATGGTCAAATTTGTTCAGATTTTCTGGCACTAGAATCCAGGTCAGATGTGCAGAAACAAAGAGCAGTTATTAAAAGGGCTCCTGCAGTTCCATGGAATAGCTGGGATGGCACAGGGCAGGAGGACAAGCCAGGCCTGTGCTCCAGTTCCAGCTCCCAGGGAGGCTCTGGCAGGACAGGACAGAGCTGCAGCTCCTTGACTTGTGGGGATGTAACAAACAGCACAGGCAGAGCAGGAGGGAAGGGGCTTTCCAGGCACTGAGATATAAGAACTGTCTCTTTTGGTTCATTGCACCACATCTACAGCACCCACGTGACCACTCCAGAATTGACAAAAGAAATATCACTTCAGCATATGCTGACTAACCATAACTATTTCATGCTGACATCCCTCCTTTTTGTAGCATTCTAGAGACTGAACTAAATTCTGGGATAATGAATTTCAGCCTTTGCTTTTCCTGCCTATTTGATCAAGTTCCTCGGGTTACACAAGAGCACAACCAAAAATTCACAAATACACTTATGTGTTGGTTTCAGCAGTTATGGGACATCTATAGCATAAACATTGGAATACTTGTCAAAAACCATATCAGAGAAAAACACTTGTATAATTACGGCAGGACAACAATGTTTGGTAAAAACAGTTAACCAAATCACAAGCTGTGTCCATGTCTTATTTCCAGATAAAGTCACTGGATCAAAGAATTCTGGGAGCAGATAAAAATAGTTCTGTAGACAAGTAAGAAAGAGGAAGTAAAAATAAATTCCACACGAGATATTTTAAGAGCATTTTTTTTATTTTAACTACCCTTTCTTACATGAGCAGCAAATACCAACCTGAAAAAGCACTTTTTCAACCTAATGAAGAAAGTTATTTCTATTTTAAAAGACAAAAAAAGGGCAAAACAGTCAAAGAAATCTGAAAATTGCCCACAATCAGGGACAGAGGCAAGAATTTCTCTTTATTAGTCCTAACTGTACAGGATTCCACAGAACCAGTGATTAGGATATCTCTAAGAGCTAGAACAGCATAATATTAATTACACTTCATGATGTCCCAGTACATGGTTCTTACCAACAGTTTCAACCAACAAACAGGCAGAATTACAGTGCAAAGCAGTACCTTTCCCAAGGCAGCTGATTCCTGAGTGGGTCACTTCTGCATACACCTCAAAGGTAGTTTCTGGGTTTTGTCTGAAAGGAAAGAAGAGCACAGAGCACACTGAGAACGTGGTTTTAGTGCACTTGCCATTCCACAGTCACAGAGCACTCTGGGAACACACAGGGAACAACAGGAGCCAGGGAAACCCCATCCCTGATCTCCCCTGTCAGAGTGGTGCTCACACAGAGAGATAAGTTAGTCCAGCTCTTGCCCACAGCAGTAAATTTGATTACACGTGGAACTTAGAAAAGCAAGTTCTTTTCACCTCACCTTCATTTTCAAATGACAAATTAAATCACCTTTGTGCTAAACACAGGGATTTTTTTCAGGAAAAAAAAAAAAGTCCTGAATACTCTTTTCACCAAACTGAAAACAGTCACATTGTCCAACAAGGAACAAACAACCCAGATTCACATTTTCATTGCTGTGACCCTCGAGTTCAACTTCATGACACCTATTTGCCCAGGAAGAAGGAAAAATAAAGAAGCTGCAGCCAAGAGGAGGAGAAATCATTTCATGCACACACTACTGAGAATCTTGAGTGGCTGTACTTCGATGAAGACAGTTCCCCTTCTTAATACTTGTCAAAATATTTCTATCTCTGTCAAAAAAAAGGCTGTGCTGGAAAATATTACAAATGCACAAGGTTTGGCCTCCTGAGTCTCCAGGGCCTTGAATCCAGAAATTTGCCAGATGCAAGGAAATGGGTGCAACAGTCAAAACCAACACCAAACTGAGCCACAAAACACAAATAAAGCTTGAGGAAAGAGACATACTCTGTGCAAGATTTATAAATATACCAGTACTAAAAGTAAAAAGTTGATGATATTACTTCAAAACAAACAAACAAGCCATTTAGTGTATATTTTCGGTCCTTACTAATATAACTCCGTGAGTGATGCTCTGGAATTACATTTCACAATGCAATGAGGATGCAAAGGCAGTAGGTGATTAAATAAGAAAGAATATTTTGAGTTAGTCCCTGACTAACAATTTTAGCTACTCCAGAAATTTGTTATGAGATTAAAGAGAATCACACATTACACTGTAATTGTTTAGTTACTGAAATAAGGATTTTGCAGGTCTGAACATGTGACACTTTATTCTTAGACTTTCTGGTTAAAGTCAAGACTCAAAATTGCATAATTACTGCTCCAAATTTATGGCTGCTTGTACAGTGATAATGTTGTCTCCTATGTGTTAATGCAAACGATCTAACATTAGAAAATTGCTGAGGTATAATTAACTTGTGAATTTTGTAACTCCCTTACAGCTAAGGATGAAAATAATGACAAGACCCACAAATACATATGCTAGAATTCCTAACTGAACAGTAACCTGAAAAATTAAACTCATCTTACCCAACATCTGAAACCAAACAGATAAACGTGTCAAGGAGTTCAGCTTACTCCTCAGAGAATTTCTATTATTTTTAATCCTACTTTAACAGCAAAAGGGATTAAGGAAAACATTTCTAACCATGCCACAGGCCCATTTAGTCTAACTCAAGTGGCTCTAAGCCAAAGCCCACACCTATTTAAACCGACAGAAAAGCCCCCACTGCTTTCAGTAGCACAGGATCACACTCCTCAGTTTTACAGAGCACCTCTCAGGAGCAACAATGCTTCACAATTCAATTAATGGTAATTTAATTTGCCACCAGTTCCCAACTGATTTGTCTTAAGTAGCTGGGTTTTTTTTCTTCAGAAAACTACATTCATAGGTTATGAGAAATCCAAAGTCAGCTGTTATTGTGCAATATAAAACAAACTTGCACAATTCTCGCTGTGCTACTTGAGTTGCTGCCCATAATCTGCTGCAAATACTGGGGTTTAGCCACATTCCAACAATCACGGTACAGGATGAGGATGGAATGATATCCCACAGCCGCAGAAATGTATTTTTCCTTTCACACATACTGCTGTGCAGCCTTATCATACCCTCCTTGTTTATGCCTTTATTTTTAGCACCCCGTTTCCTTAATTAAAAGTTTATGAATTTTATAATATTTTTACAGCTAATGGTTAAAATAACAAACACCCTGTTAGCATTATGTTAGAGCCCATGTCCCAGTTCCTTAGTGAAAGCACTGTGTCACACAGCTGGCAGGAGCACAGACTACACCAAAACTTTCAGACAAAAAGACATTACATTTTGTATTTTAATTTTCCCTGACAAATGTCCATTGATTTCTGTGAACAGTGAAGCTGAGGTAGCTTTGCCAAGTGAGAAACTCGGTATTAAAGGCTGCATTCAACGACCAACACCTCAGTATGAGAATGGAGCCATTGTTGGACTGGGGATAGTTTATAACTTTGCAGTGGAATTAAGGAAACAAGTCACTGTGAGACTTCATACAGTTTGCAAATACAGCATAAACATGATCATAATGTGTATATTCTGCAGTCCACTTTTATGACTATTAAACTGACCTGCAGACATCTAATGCCACCTGTGCCTCGCACTGAGACCTCACCCCCTGCAATCCTCCCCAGCAGCAGAGCCCTAAACACACACACTGAGTTTTCTTTCCTCCCCAAAACCACTTACAGACCCTCAGTCACTTATCAAGTGAATACAGAGATGCCATAAAACAGAAAAAGCATAGGACAGGTATGTACAAAAATACATAGTACCTCATTGTATTGGGTCTGCCTGAGATGGTCAACCCACCACACTCATTTATTTGAGAATTGGATAATTTCAGAAGGAAATGCAATACTCCTTTGTAAATAGAAATTTAGGAAGGAGCTGTATGAGGAAATAATGCTTCTGTGATAAATGCCACTTGTATGAATTACTTCAAATCTCAGATGTAGAAATAACTTCAGTATCAAAGCAATCAATATGAAATTCAATTTTAAGTTGAAGTAATATAGTATTTCAAATAAGGTATTTATGTACCTTTTACTATGAAAAATTTTAGATTTTATCAAACTGTAAGAGATTTATGCAGAATAAAATTAAACCAAGTCCTGCTCCGAAGCTGTATGATGGAAGCACATATCTTACATACCTACAGCCTATTTCAATTCTGTCAGGAGCATTTTTTCCCAGTGTAACAGCACTCATGACAGAAAGTATCACTCTACTTAAAAATTGAGGCATGAGAGGAGCCTGACACTGCCTGATAATTAATTGTCTTGTAACAAGATTACTCGCTCAACTCTCGCAGAAATAAAATTATTAGCAGAAATCTGTAGTGGCTAATTCAATTCAGAGATTGCAACTGAAGCCTTGATTAACTTCCATATATTTAACTTCTTCTGCCTGGTATTCCCTAGGCAGATAATATCCCATCTTAGTATGTGGCAAACTTTCTGTTAAATATCTGAAAGCTTTCCCAGGAGGATATGGGGTATCTCCTGTGTCAGCAGAGAGACACAACCACCCCTGGAAAGGAACTTGCCCAACATTGTCACAGGGCAAGGAATTCTGCTGAACAGATTGCTACTGACACCTCATTTAAAATAAAGCAAGCAAGGATCCTTTCTGCCCTGGAAGGTGGAGTACAAAGGCTGTGGAGCAGTGATACAGCAGGTTAATGAGGCTGCTATCCTATAGCCTATATCCTGTATCCTCCCTCCCTGGCTGGCACGAGCGCTGGCACGTTCCTGGGCCACAGATTAACCCAGCTCTGTAACCCAACACTCCCTGTACCTGCTTTCTCCCCTGCAGCTATACAGAAGCCAAGAGTTCACAGGACTGCTGGCAAGTCCTTGATTTCCTTCACTTCAGTCTGATGCAGCCACTGATACTTTTCTCTGAGCAATCTCTCACTCAGATGACTCATTATTATGCACCCATCAGCAACCTCACTGACAGATATGCCCGGGTTCCCTGCAGATCTCTCACAGTGTGTGCAAGGGATCCCGTGCCAAGAGTGTAATAAACCCTCACAGTTATCAATCTACTGCAAGAAGCAAGAGATCTGAGTACTGGTTTTTTACTGGGGCTCCAGCACATATCGGTGACACCCCTAAAGTGCACCCAATTATCAGCACACCCAATTATCAAACAGTTTTCTCATTCACACTCCCAACGTGCCCCAATAAGGGAGCTACTTAGCAACTTTAAAATCTTCGCTGGATTAAACATCCAGCTCAGAAAAGCAAACCAAAAAAGCCTCTTACTCGACAGGCTCTCTCATTCTTAATATACTTCAAGATTGGTTTGAAGTTTTGTCCTTACTCTAGTTGGGCACAGTGTTCTGTCCAAAACGGAAAAATGCAATTTATTAAGTGTAGCTCAAGGTAAAGTTGCTTAATCACTCAATGGCCAAAATGCCTTCTCACCAAGTCCAAGAAGAATGAAAAGCAATATTTATCTGGGGTTATCATCTGTGTTTTCCTGGTGACTGGGAAAGACATGGGTTTTATCTGCAATCTTGAAAGACAAGTTCACACTGAAGGAATTTGCACAGAAAAAGTCCTAAAGTCCACTGGCTGCACTAAATATTCCTAACAGCTACATCTCCTCCCTGACACCAGTTTCTGGTTGGAGCATCTCCCCTGCCTGATGGCATTCTCATTCAGCAAAGTCTACTCAAAGGCTGAAGTCCAACTAGCAATCACAAACCCAAAGATGGTAAACACAGCTTATGGACTCAGTATGCACACAAAACCCCTCTGCATTTAAAGCATCAACCTTTGAATAGATTTAAGATAAGGTCATCCTAAGAAGTCATTCTGAATCACGAACTTGAAGTGATTCAAACAAGGGTGACCACTGCAAGAACTGAAGGCACAGGTTAGAGACACAGCCTGCTCTGCTGCCAAAAATACCAGCAGTCTTAGATTCTACCTGTACTTGACTGTGAGAGTTTCACTAGTTTCTCAGGCTTTGATTTCTTTGTAGCAACAGCTGAGAACATATATGCCAAAAAAGTGCAAAGCTAATGCCCACAGTACGCCCAAGGAAGGAAGGCTTTCTGGAACCAACCAAATGCCTCAGTGCCATCACTATAAACACTCATTATCCACTTACATGTTCCTAAAACACCTGGTTGAACAGACACATGTGTATGCCTACCCAGCCCGTGGGCTTGGGAACACGAAGATGTGTCATCACACAAACTATGTCCCTTCTAGTCCTGTATTCAAGCTAAACAAAAGAAGGGAAAAGTTAAAGCTCCGCGTAATCTTGAAGATCACTGTGTTCAAGAAGGAAGAACAATTGCTCAACAGCACCTGCTGAAACTGCTGAATAAACCAGAACCTGACTAGGTCTCTCCCCTCTATCACCCTTTCACACACAGAGATGTCAGCACTCCCTGCTTGGTGATGGCTTCATTACACCTTTGCCTGTCTCAGAGGAACTGAATTTTCCTGGAATGGCACATGAATGAACTGAGACCTTTAACGTGACAATACCAAACATACCAGCAGGGCTTACCAATAAATCAACCACCAGTTTTTTGAAAACTAAAAAAAACATTGAGAGCATGGATCTGCAGGCCCAACACATCCATCACTCGCACCACTCTTCTCCCTCCCCCAAGCCCCTCTGCCGGTGCAGTTTGAAGGTCTCCCGGACAGACCGCGGTCCTTCCACGAGCGCACTCTGACCTGGCCAAAGAGCCCTGAGCTCCCTGGACCGCTCCGCGCCCCCGGACAGGCGCCGCCGGCTCTGGCCGTGGAGCTGTTCCCAGCGCAGCACCCCCGCCCTGCCCGGGCCCGCAGCGATAACGCCGCGCTGCGCTCCCCGCCCGGCCCCAGGGCGGCGGTGCCGGGGGTGGGTGTGAGGCACGGCCGGATCTCGCCCCTCCCGGGGCAGGGCCGGGGGTCCCGCCGGGGTCGGGCTCTCACGGCCCGTCCTGCCCGTCCCGGGGGCCCGCGGGCCGGGAGCGCTCTGCCCCTTCCCTGTCCCCCCTCCTCGCCCTGCCCGGGGCCCGCGGGCTCGGCGGGGTCCCGCCCGCGCGGCCTCTCCCGGAGCGCAGGGAGGGCGGGGAAGTCAGTCCCCCTCTCGCTCTGCCGAGGCCCCGGAGCGGGGCCGCAGAGCCGCGGGGGACACTCACTTGATCCTGGATCCCATGGTCTCCGGGGGGCCGCATAGACCCGCGTGGAGCGAGGCAGGGCCGGGGGCCGAGGGCCGCGCTCTGTCCGCCGCTCGCCCCTCACTCCATCCCGGCCCGCGCCGCGGCGCCCCGGCCGAGTCACGGCGCGGGGGCTGCCGGGAGCTGTAGTGCGGCGGCTCCGCGCTGAGGGAGCGTCCCCGCGGGCTCCGCGATCTGCCCGCCGTGCCGGGCGGCAGGAAAACGGGCAGCGGGCACGAACTGCTGCACTGCGAGTCCCGCCTGAACGTGGGGAAGAACTTCTTCCCTGTGCGAGTGACCGCGCGCTGGGACAGATTGCCCAGAGCGGGTGCGGAGTCTGCCTCGCTGGGGATGTTCCAGAACCGTCTGGAAACAGTCCTGTGGCACGTGCGCCGGCATGGCCGTGCTGCAGCGGGGAGGTGGGACCAGCGGAGCCGCAGGGTGCCCTTGCAGCCTGACCCATCCAGCGGCTCTGTGAGCGGGAGCGCCGGGGATCCGCCATGGCAGCGCTGGGCGCTCCCTCCCCGCCCGGGGCCGCGCTCCCCTCAGGAACAGTGAGGCTGGAGCCCCGATCCCCTCAGGGAGGTTTAAGCAGGACGGGCCTGCTCCCCTCAGGGACAGTGAGGCTGGAGCCCCGATCCCCTCAGGGAGGTTTAGGCGGGACGGGCCCGCTCCCCTCAGGGGCATTTAGGCGGGAGCCCTGATCCCCTCATGGAGGTTTAGGCCGGACGGGCTGCTCCCCTCAGGGACAGTGAGGCGGGAGCCCCGATCCCCTCACGGAGGTTTAGGCGGGACGCGCCCGCTCCCCTCAGGGCTCCTCAGCGGCTGAAGGGCGGCCTGGGATGACCCGGGGCTGGGCAGGAGTCGTGAGAGACCCACGGACAGGCCCTGCCAGCGTATCCCAAGCCCGGGATATCCCCTCTCATGCGGTGCCCGGGGACTGCAGGAGCCAGAGGAAAGAGGCGCAGACAGGAGCGGTGAGCGCTGCCCTCACAGAGCTGACACAGAACATTGTGCACTGCTGGGCACAGAGACCAGGAGAGACCTAGAAAGGATCGCCAGCCCAAGAAAGGTCATAAAGGGGACTGGAGACTACTCAGAAAGTGCAGGAGAGATGGAATGCAGTCTGCTGGAAACAGGGCTGGTGTTGACTCAAAAACTGCAGACAGACAGCTCGTGTTGGAGTTGGCCAACAAGAACAAACAGGTACCCAATGATTTTATTAAACGTGTTTTACAAGAAGTTTTCAGGAAGGTTTGGAGAATTTCTAACATAATTTAGAAATTTCTAACTTTTTAGAGCTGGGGGTGATCTGCAGTGAGGAATGAAAGACCTGGTAATTTGGCCTAAGAAGGCCCCTAAACTGCAAATCATTGTGGAAGCCAAGTGCTTGGCTGAGGAGTCTGGTCAGATGGGGGAGAGAGAGAGGATATCCCATTTGAGATACTTTAATATCCCATTTGCTCCCCAGAGAGGCTGGGTAGGAGAAATCATACCACCCTCGTTCAAGTAACAAATATAAAACGCGTTAAACATTTATGCAAAAAGTCCTGGAGGATTTGTTCACAGTTACAGTAAGTGGAAGAGATGTTTGGGCAGATGAGGAGGAGTGTTTCTAGCACGTTTGGGTACTCAGGATGAGGTGCTTCCACCCACAGGCTCTGCCACAGGAGCTGGGTGTCAGCTCAGCCCTCAGCGTTGAGTCCTGCCTGGAGCAGTGCTGTGGATGAACCTGTGCCCTGTCCTGAATTACTGTTTGATCTGGGCTGGTGTTCCCTGTCTCACACACCAATACCCGTAGCCATGTAAAGTAGCTTTGTAACCGAAATTACTGTGTTCAGACCATGAGTATTGTAACTGAACCAATCAGTGCACTAGGGGTTATACCTATAATGGTCAAATGAAGGTAAGTTCATAAAAATATCGTTAAAATTGGTTACAAAAGCAAAAAAAACCCCGTGGTCAGTAATGAGGAAAAAAATAAGGAAGCTGGTAAATACAATGCTGATGCAGTGTGAAATGACAACATTTTGGGAGTGGCTAAGAGGGTTTCTTAAATTTCATCACCCTTTTTGGAACAGGGATTGATCTTAAATTTAAGAGGTGGAGCTACAGACTCACAGTTTTAGTTTTGCTCTGTTCTGTTTAGTGTGCGCTTTAAGGATTTGGTAGATTTATTAATAAGAACAGATCTAGTGAATGTTTAATGGGGATGATGTAGTGTGCAAGAGTAGCAGACTGGTTTGTATTTGATGGTTTTTAGACCGGACATACTAAGGAATAAAGTGCTGGGTGATTCAAATGAGCAATTTGAATCCTCTCACAGAGTAAATGAGTGGTTAACAAGTAGGCATTCGCCCCAGCATGGGGGAAAAATAGGGTATAAAAATTGGATTTTGAGAACTGGACTGGATAGCCGAGGTGGTGGATGAGCTGATAGTGGCTGATAACTAACAAATGCCAGGAAAAATGGCTGCAAAATTAGTGTTTAGTAACTTCATTTGAATATGTCTCGGTGAAATATCTGTTTTGTAGGTGACCGATCCTGGATCTTGTGCAGGTGTATGCCTGAATTTCTGAGCAGGAAATGCTACAGGCACATAGGTTATGTGATAAACATGAGACAATCAGTCTGAAAACAATATGATTCTGTGTTTCAAGAAGAGAATGATCTACCTCAAGCTCACAGTTAATAAAGAGGAGTTTGATTAATAAAAATAAATGGGAATGTGTATGGAAATTATGAGGTTCTGTCCTTGCTGCAGAAGACGCAGTAATGGGTCCGGCAACACGAGCATTGCAAATTCATTCTGTGGAAACTCCAGTTTAAAAGAGTGCCTAATAAAACAGATGTGAGCTTGTAAATCTGGTAATGCAAGGTCAGAGGAAACCAGAAAGGTGACAAGAGGATGAGTGTCCAGAATTTATTCTAGTTAAAGGATAAAGCAGGCTCTCAATATGGAATTTGTATGTGCACTCCACTTTATTTTGTATACATGAAACAAGCAAAGTCAGGTATATTCCAGAATTCAGAGTACAGAACACGGCTTGTACTCTCCAAATGTCAATAATAAAATAGGAGCATTCATTCAAAATTTCAACTAAATAGATGCTGAATATTTAAATATTTATTCAAATCGTGAAAACTGCATTTTCTGTGCAAAAGCCGACGGGAAAACAAAAATGTTAAACATGATGTAGACATTCCTGTTCAAGTGCAGGGAGTTCTTCTCTCTATCTGCCTAATTTGTGTTCCAAGCTGTGGAGTGTTTTTTTCCCCTGCTTTACCTGGTGTACTTATGTAAACAAGCAGCTCATTAGGTCCCCCCGGTCCCATTTTTGCCGTTGTGCTGCTGGTGCCCCTGTCTGCAGGTGGTCGGTGGTCGGTGGTAATTGTGTCCCAGTGACAGGGCAGCGGGGACAGCGAAGCCCCCGAGGACAGCCCAGGGTTCCAGCAGTGCCTGCTGGCCTGGCCTGGGCTGCACTGCCTCAGAATAGATGAGCTGATTAACTCTGAATCGCCCTCCCAGAAGAGATGAAGCATTAATAGCAAACAAAAGGGAAGCAGAAGGGAAACTTCAGCCAGAAGAAAATAATCCAGGAATTAAAAGCTTGGTGAAAGCCTTAGGATGCTTCCATATTGACCCGAAAGTCTTAGTTCAATACCACAGAAATAGAGGGCTGATACTGTGCACTCCAGGAAGGATTTGGGAGTGTGGCTGAGCCCGTGTTTTAATCTGTAACACACCCCCAGCAGCCGATCTCCAGGAGAACACAGTTACTGTTCCCTCTCCTGCGGTGACAGCCCTTCTGGAGCATCCTGTAACCTGAGTGTATGGGGAAATTCTCCCTGCTGCAGCTCAGCCAATGGCAGTGGCAGGGGGAAAATGCTGACTTTAGAGATCAATAGTAAAGCTTCATCTAAAAGGTTATGCCTTGAAAGAGAATATCCTGCTACCTGACTAATATTGATTATAATGTTCATGTGCGTTTTTCCTAATTTCTCAGTGGGTGAATATTAGGAAAATCTCTACCAATGTTTATAAACTGATGGAAAGCCTATTAAAGATATTTCTTAAATATGAAGCAGAAATTATTCCATCAGCCTCAAGTTTGTAATTCTTGTGGTTATCAAACAATAAACCTCATGAGTTATGAATCAGGTCATTGCAAACATTGCAAGTGTTCACATATGTTGCTTTAGAGAAAAGCCTGTTCTTAATGCTCCCAAACTGGGATTCATCAGGCATTGTTAGGATAGCTGGTTACCCTCAGAGACATTTATTTATGCTCTGAAACAAGGGAGATGTTTAAATCAGCCTATGTACCTACTTATATGGGTGGAAATGGACTACAGTGACTTGTTTTCCATCACAAGTTGAGAAACAATAATCTATCCTGGTAGTTGCACAGAGTGAAACCGATTTATGACAAATACAGAAGAAAATAGAAAAACTGATCAAAAAAAAAAGAAAGAAAAAAAAATCAGTTATAAGGACATAACCAAAGAGTCAAATTAAAAGCATTCTGTCTCCCAAACTGGAGACTGGCAGATGTTTAAGGAAGAGTATAAGAATGTGGATGCATGCAGAATTCTCTCCCAGCCTCCAATAAATTAACGTGTTTTCTCAGCCTCAAGTGCTGCTTCTGAGCAGCAGCTTTTGGGGGACCGAGCACTGGTCTCCACTCAGACATTGAGCCCAGCCACTGACCACAACTCCGTGTTGGCTGTCACCAAGCACCTCCCTATTTTTGGTGTGCCTTAGCAGAGTTTCCAAAAGCATGTACTCCATGATCTTGCCCAGCACAGAGGTGAGACTGATCATCCTGTCTCCCCATCCGAGGGAACTGTGCTGGATTGCCATGACTTCCGAGATCCGGTGAATAGAGGCTTAGCAGTGTTATCCAGCAGTTCCCTCAGGATCTGTGGGTGCATCTCGTCGGTTCCCATGGACTTGTGCACCTTCAGGTTCCTCAGATGGTCCCAAACCTGATCTTCTCCCCCAGCAGGTGGTTCTTCATCCTCCCAGTGCCTTTGCCCTCTGCCAGGTGCTGGAGTGGCCGGAGCACGTGGTGGTGCAGATCGAGGCAGAAAAGCCATTGCTTCCCTCAGATT